CAATTTTCTGAAATTGACAAAATGGCAAAAATACTTTGATCAAAATTGGCAATTTTCATTATTTTCATTTTGATTTATTTTCAAAATAGAGCAATTTTCATTTTATTTTCAAACTCTGATCCAAACTGAATTGTTCCTTCTTGATTTAAAAATTAAACATGATTTAAAATTAATATTCTGAATGTTTCCCGTGTTTTTCTTTAAATAAGATGTGATTTGGTGCCTTATTTATGTATATTTTATTATTATTAAAATTATTGTTTTCAAGAAATTCATTCTCACAAAAAAGTATCGAGACGAAAATAAGACGAATCCACTGAGGCGATTTCGACTAAGAAAGTGCGAGAAATTTTCAAAAACTTGTGTGACAGTTACGATTTTAATATCTAAAATGAAGAATTTTTATTGCGTTAACTAGCATCAAGTTACTAGGATTTTGGAAGTTTTAAAAATAATTATTTCTTGTAAGACTTTAAGTTAAAAAAATTTTAACACAATGAAATTTGCACAAACTTCATCCAAATTCACTGAAAAGCACACTTAATTCACCGATGAATGAAATCCCACAATGAAATACATAAAATCGAAAAGATTTAACTTCAAAAACTTCAAAAATTGAAAGAACTTCAAAAACTTCAAAAATTGAAAGACTTCTGAATCATAAGAACATTTCCAGAAAAACGCAAAATCCAAACTTTGATCAAAAATTTTCTTTCTCTTTAAAAATATGAGACAACATATTTTATTTTTAAATAATTTATTAATTCAAGGTTTTTGAACTGTTTGGTCATTATCAAACCTAAGGTATTAAAGATTTTTTGCAATTTATTTGAATTTTGACAATTTAAATAATAATTTTTAAAATAAATTTTAATCAATTTAAATACAAGTTCCAACAAAAATAGCAAAAATAGTATTTCGAGATTTTTTATTTTCATTGAAAAAGAAACAGAATGAAAAACTGACCTATCCTAAATCTTGAACTTAGCTTGTCTGTCATTGACAATAAAAATTATACAATCACAAATAAAATTTAATTTCATACACAAATCAGAAATTCATTCAATCTTAAAATTAAAAAATATATATATCTCACCTTAGTAGCTTCAGCTTCAGCTTTTCCATCATCATCTTTACTAAAGCTCAAATATTGAGACTGAGTCTGTCCTCTGTGCGAAGCTCTTTTAGCTCTCGCTTCATTCTCATTTTCATCATTATCCTGCGATAGTATTTATTGTAAAATAAATAGACGTAAATATTTCATAATAAAAACAAATAAAGAAGCGCAATGAAAGTTCATTGAGGCTAACGTTATCAAATAAACAATGGGAATCTCCTTTTCGTATGAATCATGACGAGACAAAATCTTCTTATCAATTTTAAAAGCTCGTAAAAATTAAGTTACACATCTATGATGTCAATTATCACTGTTTATTGTTTATATAGTTGTCTCATGAATATTCGCGTAATAAATGCGTGACCTTTCAACCCTTAGCTCTCATAGATTTGAATGTGTGCTTGATTTCCGGAAGCTTTTTTTCTATTGATAAGGATTTGATTAATTTTTTTATAGTTCGTATGAACTTACACATTGATATCCACTTATAAATAGCACTAGGATAAAAAGGATGAACAATTTCCTTGAAGTATTCATAATACTTCAATTATTTTTGGATATAAATTCACTCAAGATTTAATTTTTTCTCAAGTTTTCACAAATTTTTTTTTATCTTTTGTTGTTGTTCTTTTGATCCTTAAAATTTCATATCTGAAATTCTATAAAAACACAAATAAAGTCGTCAAATTTCGCGATTATTTTTAAAATCACATTTTCTAATTTAGGTTTATTCTACTGATTATCAAATTGACACATATTCAAAGCACCAAGTAACACACATAAACTACAAATAAAAAGAAAAAGAACTTTCAACTAGAACTGTTTTTCCGAACTGAATCGCTTGAAAGATGACCACGGAATGAGCATTAATTCTCAATTTCTCAGCGATTATAAACTCAATTTTTTTCACAGATTTCTTTTATTTTAAAAGAATTTCAATTAATTATCAATGTATGTAATGTTTAATTCTCAATTGTACTCAGAACAACTTGTCTGTTCTCTATGTCAATTTGCCCCGTTTTAATAATTAAAAAAAAATATGAAATGAGAATAACTATAAAATATAAAACATATGATTGAGACTCTCAAGAAGAGAAACACATCATCATCATCATCATCAACATGCCTAAGTGTTAAGCATAATTAAACTATTTTTTATTGCATAATTTTTTCCAGATGATTAGCATGTTTTTCAATTAAACTGAGTGATTTAAATGAATGAAGTGTTTCATAAGTGTTGCTCTGTAAGTGTCAAATTAAAATACTAAATCACATCGCACAAATGTTTATGATTCATAAAGCATGTGGAGTTTACAAGAAAAAATTCAGACATTTTCAGTTGTTTTTTTTTTTTGTTATGACGATTTTGGAATTCTTTGTGCTTTTATAGAAATTATAGGATTTTTTCCAATCCTTGGTATTTGACGGAAAAATTAAAATGAATAGGAAAAATTTGACTAAAGACTGACGAAGATGAATTCAAATATTTAATTATACTTACCAATCCTTGACATAAATTGTAGGTTTTCCATATACGACGTTATCCTGACTTCTGTACCATACATCTAATTACACTACCGGAGAACCTTATTAAAGCTATGAGTAATTCAAATACTCACCATTCGATGTTACTAAAATTGATAGCTTAGATTCTATTTTGAACTGTTTTGAACAAGGGTGTGAAACTGATGAATTACTTTTTGATCAATTTTGATCATTTTTGATCAATTTTGATCATTTTTGATGATTTTTGATCATTTTTGATGATTTTTGATCATTTTTTATCAATTTTTATCAATTTTGATCATTTCATAAGTAACGCATCCTTGATTTTGAACTTATATTAAAATTCTTTACAGTGCAATTATTTGGATCACGAGAGTTAAATTTTAACACAAATAGAACAGATTTCAAATTGAACTGCAACCTTTTTCATCAGTTTTTATTCAAACAATCGAGTTTAAAAGACAAACCACTCAATAACATCCACAATCATCCATCAAATAATGCTAAATTCGCACCAGAAACACATATCTGGAAAAAAATTATTGCCTCTCTTAACATAACTGAAAAGAATCAAGTTGTAGTACTTATTTCCAGATGGTAGATTGCAACATATATAAAATTCAAAAATGAAAAGAAAAACATAAGGCTTTATGCATTTTAAAGTCCTAAGTATATGACTTTATTCAAAAAAAAATTGTTGTGAAAAAGAATAGAATTATAAAATATACATTATTCAAAAGAATTTTTTTTCAGCTAATACTTCCATTTTTATCCATAATTGGAACCAATTTTTTTTCGTCGACTACAATTCAAACTAGTTGAACTAAGGGAAGGTCTTTAATTTTTTTTCTTCATTTCAAATTTAGAATATTTTGAATATTGTTGTGATGAAGAATTTCAAATCCATTTTCTAGTAAGGGTGCGGAACTGACAAATTACATTTTGATAATCTTTGATCATTTTTGATCAAGTTTGATCAAATTTTTTTGTCAATTTTGATCATCTTCGATCAAGTTTGAAAATTTTTGATCAAGTTTGATCATTTCATCAGTTCCGCACCCTTGATTTAATTAAATTTAAATTTTTCCATCACTCCAATATCCACAAATTTCAAATTTACAAATATTGATCCTTTAATTCCATAATTTTCTTAGTCAAAATTTATTTTTGACTAAATATTTACAAAAAAAGTTTATTTTTTTCTTTAATTTCTAAAGATCCTTAAAATCTATCATTGATATTTTTAAATTGCACCATTCCAGCCCGAGTCATAAACTTACAAATAATTTATATACTAGCAAAAAAAGAGATTGTTTATAATAAATTCTTAAAAATTATTGCATTTGAGTTTATTACAGTTTCAATATGCAAATAATTCTTTTAAGCATAATAGTACGGATTAGCGAAAAAGTTTACGAATTTTCTACTCACAAATAAAAATACATTTTATAATTATTTTGAAAAAGAATTTCAATCACAGTAAAAACTAATTTTTGACTCTCTTATAGATTTGATTTGGGGGTAAGAGATGAAAATTTGGAGGGACTTTGACTGGCTGCGCCTCTGTTTTCATGTTGTGTTAAATGCTGCTTAAATTGAATAGTTTGTACAATTTTCTTTAAAATTTCAATTTTTTGTGTCACTATAATTAATCACATTAGAAAAATATCTTTTTTTCTAGAGGCGTAGTCAGGAAAAAAAGAAATGGAACTCATTTGAAAAACTTAAGATTCTATTAAATAGACTACCTCACATGAGTCATCAGTCAAACCAAAACTTTGAAAAAAGTTGAGACAACTGGAGCCCCCTCCATTTTGGTTCCCCCCTGTTTGACTCATTTAATTTACTTTTAAAAAATTCTCCAAATTTTCATTCCTTATTCCCAATTTTTTATCCAACAGCTTCGTAATCAAAAATTTATCATGTTTTTTTTTTCTTTCAATTATATTTTTTTGGTTAATTTGACCTGATACTATAAATTTTCTAATAAATTCTATTAATTCCAAGACATATACAATCAGACTAAAATTTATAGGTTATGTAAATTCTTTAGATCTGCTAAATACTCTTTATCCATATCATATATTTTCATAGAATATTTCTCCATAGATTTATTGATATTTTATCGATTGTATATGCCTTGCTTACTATTAAACAGTGTGGAGCTTCAATAAGAAAAAAAGTTATGTGTTGTGTAAAAAAGTGTAATGAATAGAGAGTGAGAAAAAGTATAAACAGCAAATTAATAATTAATTAAAAAAGTCTAACAGTCTTCAATGTAAATTATGAGAAAAAAATGAACTAAAAGAGAAGAAAAATGCTTCGCGAAAAAATTTTTCATTTCACTTCATTTACTTTATATCTTTCGACTAGTAAGCTCGTCACATGTTTCATAAAATGAAAAATGATGCTACTTGATTATAATGCAAGAAAAAAATATGTAAAAAAAATTATTCATGTTCATATGTTGGCTGCTTGCTCACTTACATACTGAAATGATACAGGAGTACATAAATTTTGGTCACATTGTTGCTCTATTAAAAATGATGAGACGGACCGAATAACACTTATTCGATTTTCTATAATTGGATTGCCACAACCAGACAGTTCGAGTTCCTGTCGTGGTTTCAATGTTATAAATGTCTTCTTTTCGCCATTCTCAATGTGATTCTGGATTCTGTCTTCAAATATTGATTTAATCTTTTCTTTCACAAATGCACTTTGTTGATTCTTAAGAATCATTTCGTGTGACTTCTCCTGTGAACTTTTACTGCTGTCATAACTTTGTGAATCTTTTCGTCCTTTTACACTTCTTTTCTGCTTCACCTTTCCTTCTGTCTTATTTTTCATACATGATGACTCTTCATGCTTATAAAGATAACTTTTTAATGCAAATCTCTTTCCACAGGCATTGCAGCTATGTGGCTGTTTAAAATAAAAACATAAATAAGAAGAAGATGACGTTAGACATTTTTTTAATGGAAGGGGGATATGAAGAGATAAACAAATTGTAGACGTGAAAACTTCCGGTGTCTCATTCATGATCGGATATAATATTCATAACTTCCTTAATTTTATTGTTTCCGTACCTTTGTGTTAGAATGCGTTTGTACATGTGCTCTTAGGTTACTCTTATCAGCAAAGGCTTTTTGACATCCATCTTGATTACATTTGAACGGTTTCTCTCCTGAAATTAGAAAATTTATGAAAGGTTTTAACATTTTGATTTAAATTAAGCCGAATTTAAATTATTTTTTATGTCTCAAAAATCTCAAAAATTTAAATAATTAGTTTTTGAGAAGAATTGAACCCATAACTTCAATAAAAATTCATTTTTAAATTTCTAATTTGCAAAGTTGGTCTCTAACCACTCAGTCTTTGCAGTTGTATTATTCTGATTGGCAAGTATCATATATATATAGCTAGGCTGGGGTCGAATGGTATCAAATTGCTCTAAGAGATTAAATTTATTGTAGACCTATTCAATATTGGATCAAATTAATAGCAAATTTCATCACAAAGATCAGAAATGACTTTTAATAAATTCCTAATGCATTGACATTCAAAATTTCATTTGTCTTCTTTGTTCTATATTCACAAATTTTTAAAGTCTGTAAATCACAGGCATAGCCCTCAAAGTTGAATTGAAAAATTTCCTCACACATTTTATTCGACAATCAAAATTTTTCTTCTTTAATTTTACATGCCTGCCAATAAATTACAAAACTTATAAGACCACCGATCACATTAAAATTCCGATCACTAACCGAACATTATAGAAGAAGAAAAAAACCACTGACTTTCATCTATTTTCAAACATAATTAAGTATCCGCCTACCTGTATGTGTTCGAATGTGTCCTTGAAGCAGCCATGGACGTGAAAATGATTTTCCACAATGTGGGCACTGACAATTCTGATTATGCGTTCTAACATGCATACTAAAAGCCGGCATCGAGACATAAACTTTTCCACAAATTTGACAACGTCGGGCCTTTTTGTCTTGCAATGATCTGTGTGTCTGTCGATGACGTGCTAAGTTTGAACCTACATAGAAAGATTTGAGTGAGAAAAAAAAATTTAAAAAAAGGTCAATGATTAATGCCAAACAGCATAGAGTCGATGATGACATACTTGTTGAATATTTCTTTCCACATTCAGGACACATGTGATCATCACATTTATTATCAGAATTTGAATCATGACTTTCATTTAAGCTTCCATCAGTCAAAAATTTTTCATCCTTAATCTCGTCTGTCGGATCAGTCGCCTTAAGTGGTTCAATATCACATGATGTGTCTTTAAAATTTTGTAAAATGTAAGGTGGTCGTTGACACTCAAAATGAAATTCATATTCACTCTCCGTCGATGATTGTTTAAACGATCGCTGCTTTTTTCTATCAAACACTTTGTGTGAATAACTCAAAAGGCTTTTAGTTGAGTCATCATCGCAATCAGATGAAACAGATGAGCAGGAAGAAGAAAGAAATGCATAAGTCTTGGGCGAAACTGATGATGGAGAGTTCTCATTCAATATTTGATTATTATTTCTATGATTTGTATAATTTAAATTCTCGTAAAGCGTTTCCTGATCTTTAAAATTTTCCCAATTGTTTTTCCATTTCTTTTTTGTTGACTCGTAGCTATTGTTCTTCTCATTATAATGCGACAATACTCGAATGTTTTCCATCTCATTTCTATCACAACTCTCGTGACAATTTTCCGACTTATTTATGTAGTTTCTGATTTCATTTATGTCAGTTGTACTCAGCTTGCCAGCTATCAATGTCACTTCCGCAAGTTGTGTAAGATTAAAAAATTCTTCTGGTACTGTTTGTGGCTGGAGTTCTTGAACCATTTCCACTTAATTTATGATTGTATTTATTTTTTTCTTCTTCTTTTTGTGGATCTGGAATTGATAAAATTTACAAAATTGTTGTAAACATTTCCGTTTTAAATGAAATTTTTTATGAATCACAACATGAACTTAGAGAAATTACTAACAACAAAGAGCCAGACTCACTATCGTACGTGGAAATGAAGAAAATTAGTGAAAAAAGAGTGTGAATGAAAATTTGTATCATTGAAAATTCGAGGAACTGAAAATTCGGAATATTTTACGACGCTCTTTTACATTGGAAATAATTGACTCAGAAAATTTTCCCTCTTTTTTTTTCTCTAATTGAGTTGTCAAAAGTTGTGAAATTAATTATTTTGATTTGTTATAAATTTATGGCAGGATTTTAATTATTTCTAAGACGCATTTTGTTTTTGTCTGCTTGGAGATTTATAGGATTTCATTTGTCTGTCACTTTGTTTTCATTTTTTGAATTTAGACTTTTAACGACTTTTTAAATTTTGAATTTTATTTATATCAAAGAATTTTATTTTTATCAAAGATGGCGGTTATTTTTTCTCACTTCAAAAAGTATTTCACAATTTAATCAGGATTTAGGCAGAAAATCATAAAAATTATTTGTTTATCTTAATTACAGACATGGCAAAAATCTAATCCACATTTCCTGATAAATTTAGACGCAAAAATCAGGTCAAAATCAAGATTCAAACATATTTTAAAATGAGAGCAATTTTATCAACATTTTAATCGCTTGTTAAGCTCTAATTTATGAGCCACTGAAATTTTGTTCAATAAATAAACCACCCAGTAGATCACACTAAATGACAAAGTGCTTTGTTGAAATAAATCAAGTGAAAATTAAAAGCAAACTGTGATCGCCATCAATAAAAATTTAAATGACCATTATAAAGGTGAGAAAAGCAAATTTTTTATTAAATCCACATTGATATTAAGCATTAATAGGGAAGGAAATATTAGCATCTGTATACATGACACTAGAGGCAAAAATCTTTTACTGGCGTACGTCCAAAGCGCAAAAAACTTTTTTTTTGATGACGCACTAATCACAATCAGCTTGTTTTCACCTATTCAGAATGAAAATAATTTTTCCGTGTTTTCTATCCGACATGTATGAAATGTGAATCGTTTCACAGGTCTTCCTTATTATACTCATATAGCTATAGATATGTATATTTAAATTTGTATCGAAAAATACTTCGCATGGTCGAGAGCGATTGAATGCCTGCCTCAATTTTTTTTTGTATCCGTCAAGAAAAGAAAAGAAAAATAGGGAAAAATAAAATAAGTTTTCCGTCTCCTCACGAAATTGAAAATATAAAAAAAAATTTAAAATTTATTTTTATTGATCACTCGTGTATGCAAAAATTTTATCGGTATGCCTTTCTATTCACCACTGACAATGTCGGTGCTCAAAAGAGACAATATACAGAAATAAATAAATTGTGTGATGATCTACATAAAAGTTATAAGTTCATTGTCGGGAATGTTAATTTTTTTTTTCTTTCTTTTTTTCATTTTAACCATCTGGGAAATTTGATCGCACACAAGGACGTGATTAAGCATTTTTTTGTTCTTCTCAACTGAGATCGCATTAAATTTATTTTTGTTGTTTTCCGCCATATTTTCTTACTGCGTCAATAAAAAACCTTTTCTCTTTATGTCTCAAACGCCGATCGTATTGCACTTAATATTCACGACAATCAATGACAAATTATTAATTTAATGTCCATCACCTTGCAAAAAAAAAGTCACTTAATTGCCTCCAAAGAATTTTTCACTTTTCTTTTCTCTTTATTATTTTTTTTTATCTTGTTACTTCTCGAAATGAAAAATAAGGACTGTGTGTACACTTCACAGATGATCCAATAAACGAATGTTCAATTAATTTTGTTTACACAAGAAAGATTTTTCATCGGCAATTCTCAATTCCTCTCTCACGTTTTTCCTTTTTATTTTCATTCAATTTCACGAATACTACATACTCTTAATTTTATTATTATTATTATTTTCATTAGCTCGTGTCAAAACGTTGTTAATCCTTGAAGAGTTTGAGTAAAACTGAGGAAAATTTTAAAGAAATCTTCGGCTTTTCTACATTCAAAAAAAAAAGATTCTTTTTTTGTTTAAGAAATGAAAACACACAAAAAAATGTTCTTTTCTCCCATATTGTGCTCGCGTGTGTCGATGATCATTCAACCCCCTTTGAACGAAGCATGCATACACATTTGTGTATAATGCTGCTATATTTAAAAATCATTTTACTCACCGAACGCGCTCCCGTGTTGTTGTCTCGTACATATATGTGTTCTTTTTTAATGATCTCACACACTGAGCGGCGAGAAGTGCCGATTGAGATTGATAATAAATGTGAATGTTCTTTCGTTCTATCGATCTAGAAAAGCATTTTCATCTTCGAGGCAGGCAGCACGAAAAAGGGGAAATTATTTTTTTTCTTTCACTCTGTGGTTTCACTTTCATTATGATCAACATCATCAACAATACATAAAATGCCGGAAAATGTATTTTTGAATGTGTTTATTAAAAATAACATATACAAAGGTATGTGTACGGTGCAATATGCTGTTGCTTCTTTCTTCTTCTGTTTCTGAGAAAAGACCACCGATGAAAAAAAATCATCGATTGATTGAGTAACATTGTTTATAAATGAAACATAATTAATTTAACATTGCATCAGAAATCTCGTTTTTAATTATTGAGGAAATTGCATGCAAAGTACATTACTCGAGTTTTTTTTTTGTTTAATTTATTTTTAGATCGATTAAATATTGATGCTGTAAATTAAACAATTTGTTGTTTGATAAATTAAGTGTAAAATTTCGATTTTCATTTTTTTTCTTGTTTGCCTTTCGTTCTCTTCTTGCTCCCTTTTTGGCAAGTGGGAAACAATATGTTGAAAAAAAAATCTGTTTGCTTCAGGCAAAATATTTTCCATCATTGAGGTGTTTTTTTGGCTTAAAAACTAGTTTATCATAAATCGATATTGACGTAAAATGAGTGCTGTCGACTTGCTTAGTGTTCATGAAAAGGTGATCACTGATCTTTCAGAGATTGCTCAAGTTATGAAGAATTAGGAAAAACATTTTCGGTACATGTGAATGAGTTTAATGTACTCATTTACACTCGTAAATCTGTCGAACTTTAGTGATACAGAAAGAAGGAAATTTTCATCTCGGCATGAATACAGAAAATCTTTTTCAATGGAGAATGTCTGGAATTTTTTTAATTTGTGTGAATTTACATTCCTAATATTGACATTTTGGGATAAGCTAATTTTGTCAGGACAAATTTATATTGAAGTATATTGAATGTGGTCTTAGACACGTGATCAACAAACACAATCCAGGTTACTTTAAGTTAAGATGTATGGCAACCTTACTTAAACGGTAATCAAGTTTAAATTGATTGGAGATGTTCCAAGAGAGTCTAAACGATTCTCCAAATTCATATTCTTGCTCAAAAGCATTGCAGCATTCATATCGAAACTTCTCCATGCAGCACAAAATTAAATCTTTGTTAATTTAACTAATCTCATAGAAATTCATAAGACTAAGTCAGCAAGCATACCACATTAATTTCTATTTCAAAATCAAAAAATCAACAATTTTATCTGGATAATAACCAGAATAAGATTCTTACATAAATTACATTAAGCAATGCCAAACATGAATCATATGGGATTTACAACAAAATTAGAGTTCCATATGATCGTCAAGGACATGCGTATAGAAAAAATTATTTCCCGAAACATTTAAATCACTCACACAGAGTCACTTAAATTACTTTTGAATGATTTACAACACATTTTGAAATAACATAAACATAGTTTTGAACTATTTTAGATTTTTTAAATCCTTGAAAAGAGTCAAAGCTGTTCGGGTAATTGACCTCCTTTGTTTTAGGATTTTTAATGGATGGAACTAAATGTGTTGAGATGATTCTGACTCGATCACATGATTTATTTACATTTTATGGAAGATTCTGTGTCTTTGGATTTTAAAATAGAAGATTTAGATCGAAGAATTGATCAAAATTTGATCCTTAATATGAGGAAATTTGAAGATGCTTAGTTCAAATCTGTGTTTGATAGATTCAGATGTTATTAAAGAATATTTTGCAAGATTAGTAATGTAGTATCAAGACTTTAGATCTTCAATTAAAAAAGAGCTAAGAGATAAACTTAACAGCTAGTAAATAAATAAGTGCTAAACCATAAATTCCTCAAAATTACACAACTTGATCTCAAATTAACATTAATTGTCTACAAAATTGCAAAATAATAAATTGACTCGATTTACTTGCCACTAATTTCACGCACTGTCATAATTTTCACCTAGAAAACTTTAATTCTGACTAATGACTTTCTTGCAAAATTCATCTTTCTTCTAAAATGAATGTAATTTCATGTTTAGAAAGAAGAGATTACTCAACTGCAGGACAAATTGTCAAACCTACAAGTCGTGTCAACTCAAGCCAAAATGAACTCTTTTTATTTATTTCACAGGAAAAAGAAGAAAAAGATCGAGATGTCTGACATAGGAAAGGTGATGACTGAAATGAGTGTTTTGCGTAAAAAAGAATCTTTTGTTGGCAGCATAAAGAATTTAATGAATCATAAAAAAAATTATGGAAAAATTCTTTATAGGCATTTAGCCACCATGCATCAAATTTCTTTGATCCATTTGAGTGAATGAAAATGAGAAACTTTTTTTTCCATCAATAATGATGCACACACAATTGTTGAACACAAAGCGGTTCTGCAGATCATAAAATAAAAGTCGGTAGGGAGAAAAAGAGAAATGCAAAATAAGATCTACTGCGAATGACACACACTTCCCTTCAATGCACCCATTTTCTTCTTTATTTGCAATCAGAATTTAACATTCGCTCGTCTGCAGTCATATTATATTTAATTATTTTTCTTTCTTATTTTCTTTAGCTTCTTTTTGTGTGTCAAATGGAAGATAATGTGATTTATTGCATGCGTTTTGGGTGCCATTCTTGATATTTTATCAAATAGTTGGTGATCTTCTTGGTTTTTGTGTTTGAACAGAATAGAATTTGAAGGTATCGAATCATATGTAAGTGAGTCTGCCAGTATAAGAGCAAGGCCTCTTTAGCCATACTGATAGACAATCATTATAAACCAGGTGACACATGGCTCTATATAAGATTTATTTGGAAGCCGTATTGACTTCATAATATGTGGAAAGTAGAAAGCAAGCTAACCACTGAGCAGTAGTCAATTCCAAGAAAGAGTTGAACACCAATGAAAATCGATGATGTACTTTTAGAGCCCAAATCCGACAAAAAATAAGCGCATGTACTTTGTATTCTCAATGCCTAATAAAGACCATGCATTCCAGTTTTGAAGAACAATATGAAGCGATAAATAGGTGATCTTTAGGATAATCCTTCATATATCTTATAGTAATATTTATTTATTTTTTGTGAAAGTCGCTCAAAAAATAATAAAACCCGCACTTGCTCATAAGTCTCACATACCCCCCATCGTAAATTTTCAAACAAGTCATTTCTCGAGAGACGGAAAAAAATTTGACACACAAAAATACTTTACCGAATTTCATCATCACAAACAATTCTGAAATATGACACTGCTCCATGCTAGCGAAAAAAAAAATGCGCGTAAAGTCATCCTCGACCCCTCAACGAATTCATTAATTTCTTTCCTTGTAAGTTTAAAAATAAATTTTACTTCTTTTGTGAACTCAATTTTTTTTTTCTTTAATTTTCCATCAAATTGGGGAACATTTTGAGTGGATAAAAGACACATGCAGCCAACACATTAAGTAGGAAAATTGACAATCCTAAGTGGGAGATCACTATCAGAAGATCACATAGCAATGGAAATGATAAAAATATAATACACACATCGAATGTGCTTATGCAGGAGCATTAATATAATTTCCTCCTTCATTTGAGTTCATTTCTCGGATTCTTTTTTAGGAAAGAAACATCTGTTTCACAGCAAACAGCACCAGCAGCAGGCGAGTAATGTTTAGTGATTTATTTTCATTGCAATTTTCATACGAAAGAATGTGTTTTGTGTGCAGAACATTGAGTGAGAAGTTTAGTCTACAAATCTGACTCAATTCAAATGTAATTTATTTTAAAACATAAAAATGTCACTGTCTTTTTTCTTGCCGGCTTTCTGGTACGAGAAATATATTTAAATTTGGTCGGGATTCAGAGTTGGGTGTGGGATTTTCATACTGTACTTAAATGGAATCGATATTTTAATTGATATGTTAATTTGGGGAGGAAAATAAAAGAAATTTTTGACAAGAATCAAAATTGTGAACTTAATCAGTTTACAACAACTAAAAATTGCTATAAATCTGTATTTATAATTCCTAGATCCAGACTCATCTCATCATTGACAAAACCTTTAAATTTGTTTGTCTGGAACCTTCTGAAATACTTATTTCGGACCCCAACAAAGAGTATTATGAATGCTTTAAGAAATGTTTTCATGCTTACTTATTTACATATTATTTTGACTGAAGCACACGAAGGTTTGATCAGATTTCTTTAGACAGTTGCCAATTCGCAACACACTTGTATCAATGCTTACATAATCATTCCATTAGTTCTGGAAGTTTTCTAAATATAACAGAAATATCATATTTCTTTAGTGTCAAGCTCCTTTGTGACTAAACTCACCCTGATCAAAGCATTTAGATTCCCTTACTCAAAGCCACAGTCAACAAACTCAATGCTAATTTCATTATAGATCATGAAAACAAAACAAGAATCAGTTGCTAAGTCCACACCCCCTAAAACATCTCAACTCTGCCACAATTCCCTTTTGTTTCAAATAGATCAACACTTTCGTTTTTGAAAAAGCATTGAAAGATTAATGAAGAATATAATTCGACATAACGACATGAGTTTTGTCTCATTACGATTAGTGATCCGCGCTATTCTT